GGTGGAGACAGCTAGGAGCAATTGACTAAAGAAACTAGTCCATGTAACAAAATCTTTCTGTATTGCTGTCTACTGAAGTTACACTTAACCTTTCCTAAAAATGAAAAGTTTGTTTCATATAGTCAGAGAATTAAAACAATCTCTTGGCCAACGAGATGTTTTTCATCCTTCTTGCTCTGTATTTTGAGTTCCATGATCACTTTTGAATGAGCAGTTTGCTGTTAATAAAATTTGTTGGCTGACTAATGATTACCAAGTTATAGTATAGATTTGTAATTAATTCTACCATCTTGCACTTTATTTATTTTTTTTATTTCATTGATTTTATTCAGTATTGTTCTATATATCCTTCCAGAAAGGGGTCGCTTTTCTGTTTGTAGAATTGCGCTAGTCTTTTCTTTGATCTCCTGTTGAGTTCATAGGTGGTCAGAATGGTTTGATAACTATCTAGCTGAATTCCTGGGACCAGACAAAATTTAAGTCTCCTACTCCTCCACCATCTTGCACTTTATAAGTGATAAGTTGAAGCTAGGATTTTCAGGTTACATAATATTCTGAAATATTTTAACATCATATGGGTAAAAATTAAACGTGTCATTGAGTTGATAATTTAGTGGTAAGCTATTTCTGGCTAACTGACAAGTTAAGGAAATTTAAAGCTTTTTATTCTTAACTAAAGGAAATGTATATCAAATCACATTATTGGCTTTATTATTTTAGTGGTATGTCTATAGAAAATATTATGGACCCAGTGTGTCATAAAATTACCCTCAAGAGGCCAGTAGGTAAGTCAGAAAATTCTGCCTTTCCATAGGTTTATCTGCATTTAATTCTCCCATACTTGTATAAGGATGTACTTGTACACAAAGGACAACTTACATAATAGGAAATACTTGAAAATATGTACCATTTGAATAATTGCTGTTTTCACTGACTTACTAGGATTTTAATTTATGTAACAGCCGATGTCAGGTCAGTATTTATTGGTGGCTAATGTATTCATCTGCTATAGAAATCAGATTGACATCTTTACTATTACTTAAAGAGATTTTCCTAGGTCAGCAGAGGTGTTCCAAATTATTTGTTTAACAAAGGATTTATAAATACCTAGTTTGTGCTAAGCACCATCCTGTACTGGTCATACAGAGATAAAATTCCCTCTCAGAAAGTTAAAAATCTAGAAAGGCAGTAAGAATATATGAACAATAGAGACTTTAGCAGGGGTGCTGTGGGAGTATAATGACAAGTGCCATTTCCAGTAGTGTCACTAGCCTCATTCTTGTATAGAACTATCAGTCAGCGTTCAGTTAGAGAAGCAGAACTACTAGGGTAGAGGTTTATACGGGATTTGACTTGACACTGTCGTGGGAGCTGGTTAAGCATGGCTTTCTGAGGCTGTTACCTTTGTTTCTGATGTAGGAGCTTGAAGTCCAAGAGCAGGCAATAAAGAAGGGAAGATGGCTGTAAAGTGGGAGACACAGGAACAAGTAGAAATCGCAAGCACAGATTGAAACCCTTGCCATTTTTATTACCTCAGACTTTGATAGTAGGACTCCTGGAAAAGCCTGGGTCCTTTTTCGCACATACCTTGTCCAAAGGTTAGAAAAGCTTGAAGGGTGATCCAGGGAAAGATTGGGAAGTTGCAGGCCCACCTTCCAGCTGGTGAGCCACAGATGAGCAACAACATGTATGAGCTACTAAATAGTTGTTGCTTCACATCTGCCCTCTAAAATTGCTCAAGAATTGAATGCTCACTCGGGGTGCCTGGGTGGCTCAGTCGGTTAAGCGACTGCCTTCGGCTCAGGTCATGATCCTGGAGTCCCGGGATCGAGTCCCGCATCAGGCTCCCTGCTTAGCAGGGAGCCTGCTTCTCTCTCGACCCTCCCCCCTCTCATGAGCTCTCTCTCTCTCTCTCTCATTCTGTCTCAAATAAATAAATAAAATTAAAAAAAAAAAAAAAAAGAATTGAATGCTCACTCTTAACCAAAACATTCAGGGAAGAGAATTCTGGAAAGTAGTTCAGCCTAACCCACTTGACACATTATGAACCACCACAGTAACTAGCCTATTAATAAATGTTAACCTGAATGAATAATACTTAAAGCAAAAATCTAGTCCCAAGAAGTCAATGAATTTCCAGTAAAACGGAGAGAGCAGGAAGGTGACAGGTCAGAAAAGAAAGGCTGAGCTGGCATTTGAAAGAGGAAGTTAGCCAAAAGAATGAGGAGTTCGGTCCAGAAAGAAGGAGCAGCATTTGTGATTGAAGAAGAAGAAGAAGAAGCTAATGTAGGAGAGTAACATTTTTAAAATTCAAGAAGTTACTCAAGTGAAATACAAATAGGAGTTATATTAGGGTCCTTAAATACTGTGCTTAGCAATTGGATTTTGTTCTGAGGACAGGGAAGCCAGTGAAAGGTTTTAAGCAGAGGAATGACAACTAGATTTTTGTTTCAGAAAAGGCACCATCAACAATAGAGGACAGCTTGGAGAGAGGCAAAGCTAGCTCAGCTTCAGGTTCATTCTAGCCAAAAGACATTGGAGACCTTAACCAAAGGCCTTGTCAGTGAGGTTGGAAAGGAGGGAATTGAGAAACACTAAAGGCAACATTAGTGGGACTTGAGTGTGCAGAATATAGAAGAAGGGAACAATCAATGTGAGTCACAGCTTTCTTGCTTGAAAGGGAAGAGAACGGGAGGTACTATTATTCACTGTGACTTCAAGAAAGAGAGTGAGTCTTGGAGCCAAGAAAGAGAGTAAGTCTTGGAGCCATGAAAGAATATCAGTGTTTCAGAAATGATAGAGAATTCCACAAAAGAAGGAATAGCCAGTTACTGGAGGAAAATTGGGAGAGAGCAGTGTCAAAAATCAAGACTTTGGAGAGTTCCATGTCAGAAGAGCCACTTTTTCAGGGAGATTAAGAGGACTCAAAGTGCCCATTAGAGTTAATAGCTTGGAAGTCTCTGGCCCTTCTTAGAGTAGTTTTGTTTGAATAGCAGGGACAAAAGATAGATTACAGTGGTGGTAAAGGATTGAAAGGCTGTGAGGAAATAGACCTACACAAAATAATTTCCAGAACACTACTTACCCTCACTTGTATTGTCTACACACCTATTAGATACCTTAAAGACATTTCAAATGTAAGTTAAAAATAGATCTCTTAGTCTCCACCCCTAGCCTGCTCTTCACTAAGTCTTCTCCATCTCAGATAATGGTACCACCCAAGTTGGTCAGCCCAAAAAACTAGGAGTCAGCCTTAGTCCCTTTCACTTTTTTTTTTTTTTTTTAAGACTTTATGAGAGAGACGGGCGCCTGGGTGGCTCAGTTGGTTAAGCGGCTGCCTTCGGCTCAGGTCATGATCCTGGAGTCTCTGGATCGAGTCCCGCATCGGGCTCCCTGCTCAGCGAGGAGCCTGCTTCTCCCTCTGACCCTCCCCCCTCTCATGTGCTCTCTCTCATTCTCTCTCTATCTCAGATAGATAAATAAAATCTTTAGAAAAAAAAAAAAAAGACTTTATGAGAGAGAGCAAGCACAAGGGGGGTGGGGAGGCAGACTAAGCTCACTCCCCACTGAGCAGGGGGCCTGATGATGATGTGGGGCTCCTAGATCCCAGGACCCTGGGACCATGACCTGAGCTGAAGGCAGACACTTGATGGAGTCACCCAGGCACCCCACCCTTTCACTTTTCTTTCTAATCCATCAGCAAGTCTTGTTTACCTCTACTCTCAAAACTGATTATAAATCTGTCCCCTCCTACTACTGCCTAATCCAAGCTGCCATGTTTCACTTGGGCTACTACATTCTCTGTTGTCACACTTGCACCCCTTTTATTATAAAATGTAAGTCGAATCCTATCACTCCCCTGCATAAAACTTTGTAATGCCCCATTTAGAATAGACTCTAATCCTTACCATTATTCACAAGGTACTATATGATCTGGTCCCCAGCAATTTCTCTGACCTCATCTACCACTCTCCCTGTTCATTCTGCTTTGGCCACCTGTTCTTTGCTGTTCCTCACACGTCTAAACTTTCCCAGTTTGCAGACTTTGCACAAATTCAGAGCTTCCCAGACAGGTTGCCACAGATGGCAAATATGCCAGGAGATACTACTCCTTAATATGTGGGGCAGCCAGGCTGATCCCCGGGCTAATGATTTCAGGCTGAGAACAGCTTCATCTGGGGCTCCTCATCAGGCCACTTGGTCTGAGCAGATTCTGAGAACAGGCCCCACAGTCCCCAGAACCAGAGAACCAGATGACTGATGTCCTGCACTCAGCAACACTGAAACATTGCCAAGAGAGAGTGCTCTGCCACCCGGACATAAACAATAGTGGCTGGTTGTAGAGCACATGCTGCTTCTGTTGGGCAAGGGGCCATGGATGTGCTGGAGGAATTTGTTTACCTGTGCCCAAGGAGTATGGTGTCAACCCAAAGTGAAGCCAGCCAACAGCCAGAAGAGGTGATAAGCCGAGCAGGGGTCCTAGAGGCAAAACTCCAGACCCCAGCTCCAAATCTCTACCTTTAAATTATCAGAAATGTATTTCTATGTGGTAGATGTGGTTTGGGACCTACCAACAGGCTGCGTGGTGATTGGCTGTGCAGTCTGCAGATTAGAGTATCATGATTATTTTTTAAGTACATGATATGAAAAAGTCTAATTGAATTTGAAGTATTTTTGTATTAGCAAAAGAAATAGATTACAATGTCAATGAAAAAAGGGAAATGTTAGAGTCTTGTTATAAAAGTTTTATAGTGAGCATAATAAAATATATAATGATGATAATTACTAATCTGAAGACCATTCCAGTCAAGTCAGTCACCCTAAGTCAGTGGCTGTTCTTAACATCCTTCATGGTGAGATAACCAGAAATGTTTCCTGATATGATTAAATATAAAGTAGACAGTATCACCTATGATGTAATCTAGCCAAAAATAATTAACTTGAATCTATCAAGGCTTAAGATGTAAATTCCAGTTTCCAGGAACTGCAGGAGATAGAGGAATAAGATAAATGACACTAAAGGAAGTAATTAAGGATTATGTTTCTCCATGTATTAGGTGTTAAGTGTTTTCCATTAAAATTTTTTTATGTTCTCTGTTAAGGTCTGGTACCTCTTTTATATAACATTTATTCTAAAACTCTCTATTCTTTATTAGTATTAAAAAATGTACCTTGCTTAAATTTTGTTTGTTGTTAAGAAATAAAATTAAGATGTAGATTCCTGGAACTTTGTTATTGGGGTTAAAATGCAATTGAAATGCAAAATCTTGTAACATCTGCTTCCGGTAATGATAGACTAGGTAATTCAGACCAACTGTCCGACTGAAGAAATTGTTAACATTTGGGTGAGATATAAAACATATCTTAAGAATACTAAAGCACGAAGAGGTAATGAGAAATCATCAGGCCAAGAACTGAGAGACAGTGGAAATTCAGAGAGGTGAGTTTAGGACTTGGGCCCACTTACGCCCTGGTAGCATTTGCCAGCCTGAAAGAGATAGCTAAGAGACTAAGCTATTCTTTTGGTGACCTCACAGGACTAGAGGAGTGAAAGATGGAGTTCAAGACCCATTGAGGAGGGAGACCCAAGTAAACATCACCATTGCCTACCACCACCACACACAGACTCAGCTTTTGGTGCAGACTTAAAAAACCAGTCCTTCCATGGCCAGCACCCTGCTGTGAGTGGACGACTCCATGAACAGTCAGCCCTGAACTTGGATTAAGGTGATCCCAGATTGCTGGTGCCCCCAGGTCCCTGGCAAAAGCAATACAATAAACCTGGTTTAGAGGAACAAAACATGATCTTCGTCTTTTCTTCTACAAACGATTTTCAAACCCAATTTTATAGTAAAAGATAATCAGATGATTAGGAGATAAGGATCTGTAAGCAAGAACTAAATAAGCCATAAACTAATTATGCTTACTGTATTAAAGCAGATAAAAGTCAAGTTTGAAAATGTTGACAAAAAACCAGAAATAACATTTAAAAGAAAATTTGAAAAATACAAATTCTAGAACTGAAAAAATATATAGAAAAATTAGCTCAGTTGACCACTTGTCAATAACAGATTAGACAAAGGTGAATGGAGCAATTATGAACTGGAAATAACTTAGAATATCTAGAAGGAAGAAGAGAGAGACAAAGATGAAAAATACCAAAGGGAGAGTAGGAGACAGAGAAGATACAATAAGGTCTAATATGTAGTTGGAATTCCCAAAGAAAATGAGGCAGAGGCAATATTTAAAGAGCTCATGGCCAGAAGATCATGACACAAAATGGTCGATCTGTGGGGGGAAATTACCTAACTAGAATTCTATAGCAGTAAAAGTATCTTTTAAGAATGAAAGAGAAATAAAGATTTTGAGAGAACTAAAAATGAGTTAGCAACCAGTGGCACTTCATTGAAAGACTAAAAGGTATTCTTAAGGAAAAGGGGGTGCCTAGGTGGGTCAGTTGGTTAAGCATCTGCCTTTGGCTCCAGTCATGATCCCCAGGTCCTGGGATCGAGACCCGTGTCGGGCTTCCTGCTCAGCAGAGAGTCTGCTTCTCTCTATCTCTGTCCCTCTGCCCCTCACCACTGCTCGTTCTCTCTCTCTCTCTCTCTCAAAATCTTTAAAAAAAAAAAAAAAAAGGAAAATGATCCCACAGAAAATGACAGAAACAGGGAAAAAGGAAGAAAAACATAGCTGTTAAATATGTGAGTAAACCTAAGTGAACATTGTAAGTGTACATATAAACTAGTGAGATTTTAAAATATTTTTAGGTAGAAGTAGACAAATTCATAATTATATCAGTGACTAAAAAATTAATAAGCAGGTTATAGAATTTGAACAAAACAAACTGTGCTTAAAAGAGTTACATAGAACACTACTCCCAATAACCACAGGCTACACATTCTTCTCAAGTACCAATGAAATAGTATACAAGAGGCCCCTGGGGGTGCTCAGTCAGTTAAGCCTCTGACTCTTGGTTTCGGCTCAGGTCGTGACTTCAGGGCTGTGAGATCAAGCCCTGTGTAGGGCTCTGTGCTGAGCGCAGAATCGGCTTGAGATTCTCTATCCCTCTCCCTCTGCTGCTCCTCATGCTCTCTCTCTCACTCAAATAAATAAATCTTAAAAAAAAAAAGAAACTGTACAAAAATTGACCATATAATGTTGCATAATGCATGCCTCAACAGATTTGAAAGGATTGAAATCATGCATAATATTTTTGCTGATCACAGAGCAAATGTGCTTAAAAGTTGTTAACAAAATGATAAGGAAATCCACATGTATTTTGAAATTAAGAAATGCATTTCTAAATAATCCATGCATCAAAGAAGAAATTAGAAAGGAAATTAGAAAGTATTGTGAAATGAATGATAAAAAAAAAAAAAAGATACAGAACCGCAAGGAGTACAGAATCTGGCCCAAAACTTCCTGAAGTTGGGTTTGCGGTTGGAGATTCCTCAAAGAAGAAAAGTTGTTTGTTTTTCTCTTTATTCTCCTCTGCCCAGAGCCAAGATTGGAATAAGCCAGTGTGACAGGCAGAATTCTGCACTGCCCCACAGTGCTGCCGTCGTGTCACCCTCAGTAAAATCCCCTCCCCTGAGCGCAGATGGAATCTGTGACTTGCATCTGATGAATACAATATAGCAAAGGCGGTATGTTACAACTCCCTCCATTGGGTTACTTTGTGTGGCAAAGGTGATGAGAAGTCACTCCCACTGCTGCATTACACTGTATAAGACCATCCTAGCAGCCTGGCAAGACTCTCCTGCTGGCCTTAAAGAAGCGGACTGCCATGTTGTGAACTACCTATGAACAGGGCCACAGGCAGGGAATGGCAGGCAGCTTCCAGAACCTGACGGCAGGCGCCAGCAGACAGGCAGTAAAAAGCTGGGGCCCTCAGTCATAGAGCTGAAAGGAAATGAATTCATGCAACAAATGGAGGTTGGAAGAGGATCTTCCCCCAGTCAAGCCTCTGATGAAACCAAGGTCCCAGCCAATACCTGCACTGCACCCTGATGAAACCCTAAGCAGAGAACCCTGGTAAGCTGTACCCAAGCCTCTAACCCACAGACACTGAGAGATAGTAAATGTGTACTCTTTTAGGCCTGGAAATGTGTGATTGTTACGCTGCTGTCAAAAGCTAGTACAACAAGGATCCTTAACATTTCCACTGTGGCATGGCTTTTTTCCTAATCCACCCACTGTGAGTCTCCTTTCAGAGGGTCTGATGCAAATTCCCCCCTTTGTGCAGGCTTAAGACTTGGTTTCCTGATCTCATGGACATGGCCTTTCGACCCTAGCTCTGGGTCAACAAAAATCAGCAGCTATTCCCAGAGCAAAGACCAGCTCCAGGTCTCACTCAACATGCTTCCTTTCTACCTTTGAGGATTTCCAACATCCAGTTCAGCCACGCATTTTTCAATTCTGGTGTTTAAAATGTTTCATCCAGCATTGGTTGGTGTTCTTTAACAAGAGGATCTCTTTAAAGATCCAGTCTATGTCCTGGGATTCGTGTTCATCGTTCAACCCACTGAAGTCTTAGTCTCCACCACTGCCACACCCTAAGCTGCATTTGCAGAAGAGATCATGATCCCTTCATTCTAAATCCAGTCCACTCTTTGCAGTCCTCGTGTTACTGGGCCTCCCTCTTGGCAGCATCTGGTGCTATTGGCCACAGCCTTCCTTCCTTCCTTTCCTCCCTGGCTTCTAACTGTGTGTTTGCTATCACTGCTTCCTCTCAATTTCCTTAGCTGACAACTGTCTGCCTCCTTCCTAAATATTGGTGTTCCTCAGGGTTCTGTCCGATGAATTTTTATTCCCACTCTACAGACTACCTGGACAATCTTAGCCGTCCCCATGGCTTTTACTATCATGAGTATGCTGATGACTTCCTCATCTATATCTCAAATTGTATCAGACAGGATAGGTTAGGTTAAGTGAGATAAGAAACTATCCCCAAATCTTCGTGTAACATGGAAAAGCTTATTTTTTGCTCATGGAGAATCCACCACAGGTCCAAGTGACCCTCCAGAGAAACTGTCCTCCATATGATGACACAGTGATCCAGCTTCAGAGCCTGCAACCTTACCTTCACACCACGAAATCTTCATGATCGCCCTGCAGGAGAAGGGGTCAGAAGAGGTCTTACTTCAGTGATTAAATGCTTCAACTCAAAGGGAATACATCACTTTCATTCATAGTCTGTTGGCCACAACGAGTCACATGGCACCACTCAAACACAGGTGAGGCTCTGGGCCAGAGGAGAGGAGAACTGGTTGTGGGCCAGAACTAGGACTGTCTACCACACAAATCTAGATCTCTTTCATGAGCCCCAGGCCTGTGTGCCCAGTTACGCTCGCCACATCTCTGCCTGAATGTTCCATGAGCACCCTGAAGTGAATGTGTCGAAGAATAAACACATTATTTGTCCAATCCTATACCCCTTTCTTCTATATCTGCACTATTAGTCAGTGACACAATGCAGAAATCTGGGAGCTACCCTGAGCTCCTCTCTCCCATACCTTCCTCTTACAAGTAATAAATGACTAGATTCATCACCTCTCTGCCCCATCTCTGCTTCCCCATGGCTATTGCCTCTGGTCAGAGCTCTGCAATGGTAAAGGACTTGCCACCCGCTGCCCAGCCCCTCCCCAGCCCTCCTATGTTCTGTTGCCTAAACCCAATGTGACCATGTTTCTCCTCTTCAGCCATCTCTCCATTCCCTCTAAGGTAAGATTTGTTTAGGGCCCTCCATTACCTGGTCTTGTCCTTCCTCTCCAGCCTTTCCTCTTCCATTCCCCATCCCCACCTGACCCTCATTCCCCGCTGCAGCAGCCATGGCAAAATACTTGCATTTCCTGGACTGTAACCAACATGACAAAGCATGCCTTTGCTCATGCAGTTCCTCTTCCTGCCTAGAAAATGTGATTCATCTTTCAAGACACAACTCATACATCATCTCCTCTATGATGCTTCTTGTGACACTCAGTCTCCCTCCTTATTGTGTAAGCTCAGCCTTTTCTCTGTTGAATCCCACTCCATCTGGTGCAGATGTGAGCATTGCATCTACAACATTTCATTATGCTGTTTACTCCAGAATTTGGCAGTGCATGTGGTTCATAGTAGGTGCTCAGTTATTGTTGGATTAATTAATTAATTGCCACTCTAAGTCTTGAGCTACTACTGTTTCCCTCTCTGGCTCTTCCTCCTTCAGCCCTTTGGTAACATCTTTGATCTTTTGCCCTTCTGCCCTTCCTTGTTCCTGCTACCACTCTCCTAGATATCACTCAAATTCACTTATGTATTGGGCTTGAAAAAAACAGAGAAGACACTAGAGAATCCCTTTTTGGAGAAATAACTAAAATCTAATCAAGTTGAAATAAAAAAGGCTACTAATGAGATACAATAAAAAATGGAAGTTCTAACTGCTAGGATAAATGAGGCATAAGAGAGAATTAATGATATAGAAGACAAAATGATGGAGAATAAAGAAGCTGAGAAAAAGAGATAACTACTGGAGCACAAGGGGACAATTTGAGAGATAAGTGATACCATAAAGCAAAACAGTATTAGAGTAATTGAGATCCCAGAAGAGGAAAGAGAGAAAGGGGCAGAAGATATATCTGAGCAAATTATAGCTGAGAACTTCCCCAATCTGGGGAAGGAAACAGGTATTCAAGTCCAGGAGGCACAGAGAACTGCCCCCCCCAAAAAAAATAAAAAATAGGTCAATATCTCAACATGTAATAGTAAAGCTTGCAAATTTCAGAGACAGAAAAATCCTGAAAGCAGCTCAGGACAGGAGGT